TTTACATTATCTTTTTGTCTTTGGTGCGTGGCGTGCTGATTTGTGTCATGTCCTTCCTTGTAAGTTGGGAATTTAATCTTACTCATAACCTCTTCATTTAACTTTGCAGAGTGGGTGAGACTACACATTTGTAGGGAAGTTTATCAGTACTACCAAGGTGACAGAGATGGATATGGGAGAGGCTGCAGCCTTTGAGAGGGTACAGTTCCAGCCAGAATTCAGACCAACGAGATGCTGTTTGTGTTCTTATTTTCTTTTTCTGAGATGTCTAATAGCAGCTTAAAAAATGATTCATGGAACAGAAACCACTTTACTTGCTCTTCCACATAGTATCTTGACACACACAACTCACAATTAAGCTCTTAGACTGAGTATTTGCCGCCAGGGTTTTCCCCTTACAGAGGGCCCCACCGCACTGTCATTATGTGATACGTTAACAGTATTACTGTGTAACTTCACTCTTCATCTTGGAATCGTAGCCAGTTAAAAGAGTGGATATCAAATTTGGCTTGCTGTAGAATAGAGAAAGTGAGTGTGTGTAATCTTCTGGGATGTGGAACTGTAGATTGTGGGTAGTCACTTAAAAAGCAGGTTGTTGTGTTTTGTTTTTTATTTTTTGTTTTGACTATATCGTTAGTTTAATTTTTAGTGTTCATATAATAGCTACAGCAATTGAAGACACATCATTTTCATTCCAAGTTTATCACGTTTACTTCAATTCATAAATTTCTTTGATATAGAACAAGTTTTCCATTCAAATTAAAATACGAAAAACTTCCAATTAATTGATAATTATTAATAAATGCTATTTAAAGAAGAAAACAAGTGAGAGTGAGCCAGGGAGAAACTGCATGAACTGTGGAGAAACAGATGCACAATGGATGACTCCGTCTTAAAACAGAGTAACCAGTAAGTTGTCGACTTACCCCACGCCTTGGAAATGGTTAAGAAGTGACAAATTAAAAAGCTACAAAATTGAGAAAGTAGATCTTACTGACATGGCTTTTTAAAAAAAGAGTATCTTAAGCCAAAAATTAGTTAGGGTAGTCACTTAAAAATGTTAGAAGAAATATAACTAAGTGGTTAGCTTTCCTTTGCTTCTCTGAAAAAATGAAAAGGGGTCGATTTAAATAGCAAACAGAATTATTCCTCACATTAAGGATTGTGGAAATGTAGGTAAATGGAAATGATAATGACAAATATCTACTGTGTGCCACATACTGCAATAGTAATTTATTCAGCATTCACAGAGTCCTCGAAGAAATGAGATGTATTATCATGTCTATTTTATTGAAGAGGAAACAGATTTTTCAGGACTAAATAATTTGCCCAACAGCTAATAAATTGAAGAGCCATGGTTTTAACTCAAAGGTAAATTCAAAATTTAAATTAAAGCCTCCTTTCTACTATTTTTTAGTTGAGAATTTGCAACATTGGAGTGGGAGATTATAAACTCAGTTCTTCTGGACGTGTTTGAGATTAGGTCAGAAAACGCTTTGGGGGAATGTATCGTGAGCACTTATGCTTAGTAGTCTGAATGTATGTCTTTAAAATTACTAGGCAACCCTTACCTTTCAAACACTACTATGTCAATTGTTCCTATATTTGAGTAGTTTAGGAAAAAGATAGGTTTAGTCCAAAGCTCTAGATTTTTCCCTTGTAGCTAAAGGCCACTTGCTCCCTTACTGTTTTATTTGAAAATGGCCTGTCTCTGAAAGTGCAGTCAGTATTTATGAGTTGTTAGAGGCTTTTACCCTTGTCCTCTTCAACATCCAGCACCCTGATGTAAGAAACTGGAGCACTAGGGTATTTGCTTGGCTCTAAAAAGTCAAGTTTAATGCCTGCTTAGCTACTAACTGTTCAGGAAAACAATCACTAGATTTCAGACCAAAATAATAGTAGGTTTGGTCCCAGTGAAAAATGACAAAGAAATAAAATAATAACAAAGAAAATTTTTTTTATCAAGAACAAAACAAAACCTGCGTTTCTCCCACATAATCTTAATTATAGTCTGTGATTAAAATGACTTGTCAAAGGTGATCTGATACAGATTCAATAACGAGTAACTTGTGAGCTTTTGGGGTTTTTTAAGACCCCATCTGTATTTTTCATGTTAAGATGTTTTTTTGTTCAGATTTCTTCATTGTTACATTTTAATGTATCTTAATCCACATCACATCTTCCGTCTGAACCAAGAATTAGAACATTACCAGTAGTTCCCACCTCTGTTCCCTCCTTATCTCACCTTCTCTCCTTCTCACTGCTCATGCCAAGAACCCTAAATTATGAATACTGTTCTGCTGTTTAAGTGGCTTTCATCACTGAGATGTACTTCAACAGTATATGTGAGGTATAACTTTGTTTTAAGCTTTGTTTAGATTACTGAGACTTTTTACTATTGTTTTTCATCTATAGCCATGTCGTTACATTGCCAGGTAGCTGTAGTTCATTTATTTCCACTGTTGTAAAATATTCCTTTGTGTGATTATAACCCAATTTAATTACCTGTGCTATTACTGGGTGGGCAGTTTGGGTTGTCCCCTGGTCTGTTTCTGTCTCAGACGTGCATATGCAGTCCCGCCACACTCCCCAGTACCCTGCACATGCACAGCTTGTACATGCACCCGGGCAGGGTTCACCCTGGACTCAGTTCTGCTGAGCTGTGCTCACGGGCTGTGCTCCTGTCCAGTTGCCACGCTGAGGTGAGGAGTTCACGTCACTTAGTGCTCTGTTTAATTCAGATGTCACTGATAATTTTTTTTATTGAAATATAGTTCATAGACAACATTATACTGGTTGCAAATGCACAACATGCTGATTTGACACGCCCACCATGACAAGAGCAGTTGCCATCTTTTAACATACAGAGATGGCACAACATTATTGACTAGTGGGTCACATTTGTAGATACATTTTGTGGTTTTGTAATCTTCTCTTCACCTGGCTTCATCTGTTTACCCTGACTTCATTTCTAGAAAATGCTTTGATTTTTTTGTTTTTAAATCTCAGGTGATCTTGAATAATATTTTGTTGGTTGGAGGTCTTTGATTCTTTCTCATTTACTTGTGCACTGCGTCCATGGCTTCGCTAGACTCCGGATCTGGCAGATCTCATGTGTGGTAATCATTGGGTTCTGAATCTGTTGGCTGATGTTTCTGCCCAGTCTTAGTGGTTTCCTTTCTTGGTGTTTGCTCTTTGTGAGCTCATTACTTGGACATGATTTTGGCTAAAATGGGATTTGCAAAACTGTCCTCAGAGGATTCTGCTGCTTCGGGTAGCCAGGGATTGCCCCTGGCCTGCGATCACATTGGCCACCCTTCTTACTTTTTTTTCCCCAGGACCTGGCTGGTCCACAGCTCAGCGTCCTGAAGGTAGGAGAGTACATGCACGGCCCTGCCCTGCAAACCTCCACACACTCAGACCCTGACCCCACTTCTTCCCCTCTCGGCTCCCCACTTCTGGTCCGTGGGCTTTAGACACTTTTTGGAAGGTGGTGATCTTTAAATGCTCTTCCACCACATGTGAGGTTCATGAGGTTCCCAGAATAGTGTGTCCTTTGGAGCTCCTGGTCAGCTGTAACTCTTGAAGCAAGGATCTCTGTCATCACGAATTAGAGAAATAGGGATTTTCCTATTTAGTAACTTGTAATACTATTTTGAACATGTTTAAATGTCCTCACTGAGAGTAAATGCTTAGTCTTGTCGTTTGTAAGAGGATAATAGAAAAATTTTAACTATAGGATACTTGAATGTTTTTATTTAAAACTATAAGAAATCCTCGTGTTTGAAATAATTTGTTTCTGTATAAAGTTGTAAAACCAAAAACACTTGTCTGATTGCATTGTTTTGCTTACCAAGTCTTCATGAACTTCTTACCCACAGGGAGTAGTTAAAGCCCCCCAGCTCCACATCAAGGCTGCTTGTCATGCAGCCCCTCAGCATCACATCCCCTTTCTGGTCTCTCTTCTCTGTCCTCCCTTTTCTGCTCATCGCCAGGGGTGCCCTTGACTCTTTCTGTCCTTTCTTTGAAATGTCCTCTGTACATACACTGCCACTGCCCCACACAGCCACGCCTGCCTAGAACACGCTGTGTAACCACGTGTTCTTCCTGGACTGAGACAGTCCTGCCCCTGTGGCATCCTGTACGTGCGTACCCACAGCGGACTTGCCGCCTTGTGTCCTCCGGCCAGAAGGTGACGTCTTCACATTGAGTCACTGTCCCCCTTCTGCAGTGTTTCCCCAATGCCTGACTCAAAATGTCCACATCACTGTGCATAGCTCTTACTTTTTCCACGTGGTATTAGTTGTCTTTACTCTTGCTTGTAGATGGCTCTGAAGAGGAGAAAATGGAAACTGATACTAAAATGCTTAGTCTTGTCGTTTGTAAGAGGATAATAGAAAAATTTTAACTATAGGATACTTGAATGTTTTTATTTAAAACTATAAGAAATCCTCGTGTTTGAAATAATTTGTTTCTGTATAAAGTTGTAAAACCAAAAACACTTGTCTGATTGCATTGTTTTGCTTACCAAGTCTTCATGAACTTCTTACCCACAGGGAGTAGTTAAAGCCCCCCAGCTCCACATCAAGGCTGCTTGTCATGCAGTCCCTCAGCATCACATCCCCTTTCTGGTCTCTCTTCTCTGTCCTCCCTTTTCTGCTCATCGCCAGGGGTGCCCTTGACTCTTTCTGTCCTTTCTTTGAAATGTCCTCTGTACATACACTGCCACTGCCCCACACAGCCACGCCTGCCTAGAACACGCTGTGTAACCACGTGTTCTTCCTGGACTGAGACAGTCCTGCCCCTGTGGCATCCTGTACGTGCGTACCCACAGCGGACTTGCCGCCTTGTGTCCTCCGGCCAGAAGGTGACGTCTTCACATTGAGTCACTGTCCCCCTTCTGCAGTGTTTCCCCAATGCCTGACTCAAAATGTCCACATCACTGTGCATAGCTCTTACTTTTTCCACGTGGTATTAGTTGTCTTTACTCTTGCTTGTAGATGGCTCTGAAGAGGAGAAAATGGAAACTGATACTGATGGTCAGCAGTCTGAAAAGGTGAGGTCTGTCTGTCTGAATCTTCCCATGACAGAAAAGCCACAGAGAACACACCTCTTGTGATAGAATGGTTTGGGTTTATTTTGACCTTTTGAATCCCTCTCCAGGGAGTATAAATGATTGTATTAGCCATTTGGACTCTGCTGGTTTAATACAGGGCATTTTTCACTTCCTCAGCCAGTGAAGGTTTATCCAGTCCTTAACCTCTTCTTTTATAACCTGTTTGGGCACAGTTGGAAACATGAATATAAAAGGTGTGGTTCTTGGGAATATTGAATTGTAGGCTTTCGGTCCTGTTCTTGTGCCAGAAGAGAATTGTAGAATATTAAGGGATTTTCAAGGAGAGAAAATACAGCAGAAAACCTTAGAGAAGACTTAAGTATTGACAATTGAGGGAGGTTTAAAAGAGCAGGTAGAGCTATGAAGACATGGAGGGTAGGGAGTCGAGTCCCAGCTGGCAGTGAAGGGGGACCCAGAAGCTGGTGTGCAGAGGGCATCAGAGCACCAGGTTTGCTCGTGCTGGTCCATCTCATGGAGGCTGTGCACACCAGGTGAGCCACAAGCTTTGAGGCCCTCCGTGAGCGAATAGATACATTCAGGAGTTTAAGGTCTTAATTACATGTTTGTTGTAAAATTGCTAATAGACTAAGGAGAGAGGGTGAGGATAATAGTGAAATGAATTAGAATTCTTAACACTGTTCCGGATACTATGCTTTGTACTTTAAATTTATAAATTTATCTAATTCTTTAAAACAGCCTCATCAAGTCAGAGATAGTGTTTTCATTTTATAGACAAGGTTACATAATTTGTCCAAGGTCACAGGGATTTCAGAACCAGCAAATGACACCAAACACTGACCTGATACCGTCCCCAGAGTATGATTACTGATTCTCGATGACAGCTAAAACCAGTAGCAAATGACTATATAAAATGGCTTTGTCAACTTTTTACTTTGGTAGTGTTCCATCTTGCTGCTTCGTTGATAATGTACATTTTAATTGCTCTTGGTCCTTTTGGACAACTAATTAAAAGTTTACTTACTATTGATCTATCTAGCCCATAAATATACCGAATTCCCCTGGCATCCTTTGGACACTAACCCTGGCCTTTAGCAGAGGGTGCAGAGGGTGCAGAGGGCAGGGCCTGCATGTGGTGGAGGCCTGTGATCTTACGAGCCCTCAGATGATAAGGTGGTGAATGGTATTTCTCTGAATTTCATGAATTTCTGTTCCCAGCTTTTCCTCAAGGCCCTTGTGGACCTGGTCCACCTCTTGCCAGAAATAGAACCTGTTGGTATTCTAAAATAATGTCACTGTAAAAGGACCTCTTTTTGCTCACTTTCTATCCTCTCTTTTGTGACCCTTCAAGGCAGAAAACAAAGGCGAAAACGAAACAGATGAAAGTGATAAAGCACAAGATGGAGAAAATGAAAAAAACAGCGAAAAGGAACAGGACAGTGAAGGTAGTGAGGATGCCAAATCAGGTAAGCCAAGGAAACTATTATGCAAAACCAAAAAGCTCAGGAGATGTGGGCAGTATAATCGTCCCTCATTTAGTTTGAGTGTGTGTTTTAACGTAACAGTAAATAGGTGTTTGAGTTTCGTCCTGCAGGGAGGTCCCAGTGCTGATGCCAGGGACCGTCCGCAGTGCATGGAGGTGAGGTTGGGGGGAGGCCCCACTGGGGGCCGCGTGCTGGGGTGGCCAGTGGGTCTGTCTCGGCCACCTGTGGAAATGCTGTGCACGGCTTCTGGTTTCCTCCAGGCCCTAGGGTCTCCCCGGGCACATCACTGACTGATCTACCTGGCCTCAGAGATTAGGGCCCTTGTGCTTTCCTTTCCAGGGGAACCACACAGGCAGCCCAGAGAAGGGAGAGGACAGAGTGTACTGTTCAGAAGAGCCCTCTCAGGTAGAAGCACTCAGTGCATGGAGTGGCTTGGCAGAGCCCTGGAGGAGGAGGAGAGGGCCCTGAGATCTCTGACAAGCCCCAGTTTGTCCTGAGATGGAGCCGTCTTGCTGACACTCAGCACTCTGGTAACAAAGCTTTCTTATTTTCCCCCCAGAAGAAAAGGAGATTGAAGAGAACAAGGAGCTCACTGATGCTTGTAAAGAGAGAGAAAGTGGCACTGGGAGGAAGAAAGTAGAGCACGAGATCTCTGAAGGAAATGTAGCCACAGCCGCGGCAGCTGCGCTCGCCTCTGCTGCAGCCAAGGCCAAGGTCTGCCCCACGGCCTCTCCAGCACTCCCTGAAGCCGAGAGGGCCCTAGCGGTCAGAACTCGGGGAGCAGGCTGTGTGAACAGCCGTGCACCGTGGGTGGGGGGGGGGGGTCCTGTGTGCCTGGAGGGCATTTCTAGGGAGCGGCTTGGATGGGCAGAAGGCTGGTCTGGAGCCATGGCTGACCAAGGTGGGGGGGGCTGTCACACGGAGGTGGAAGGCAGGATTTGCAGTCTCTCTGATGGGGTGCAGGATGTCTTAGACTCTTGTCCCAGTTTCTGCTGGATTGAAATACTTGTGATTTTTAAGACAAAAATCTGCTTCCTTGTCTAAATTCTTCACCTTGCATTTACAGACTGAAAGGAGACAGAGGGAACCTAAAATAGCTCATTTTCTTCTTGAACTTGGCAGCTTTTCTGTGGGTGGTTTTCTCTATTTATACCATAGTATTGGCTTCACAACATATATAAGAGGAAAAGAGAATGTTTTTGCCTGCTTTGTGTTAATTTAACATTTTAAGGCATTCCAGGCCTGAGTATGTGGAGTCTTTAAAAACCTTTCCTCCGTCTCACAGACCCGTCACCTTACAGGCTCGTCGCCCCGCTTATGCAGTGGTTACCGGGGCGCACTGATCGCCTCGACCTAATGGTCACTCATCTGTGCATAGAGATGTTCCTCCTCGGTCTTTAGTTCCCCTGACCACTCAGCTGCTGCGAACTGTTCCTGCAGGTGTTGATCTGTGGAGCGTGACTGTATCAGAGCCTTAGGTGACCCGTTCACAGGACACTGTCTTGATGTCCACCAAGGGACATGGGTGCAGACAGTCACGGAGGGTGTGCACTGGCCAGTCACACTTTCCTGGGTGAATGCGCCCATTTGCCAGCCTCCAGACACACTCTGAGCCCACATGTAGAGGTACCCTTTCCCACCACCCCAGCCCTGGGAACTCGAGTGCACAGTTGTTAAATAAGTCCTGGCGCAGACAGCAGTGTGCCTGTCACTTCATGTTTGCTTTGCTTCTTCATTGGAGGCATGTTTTTTAGTCTGTCTGTCTTCTGCCAGGTTAGACTCTGGCATTTCTTCATCTCTAAATTGTCCGAGTTGGTGATGTTCGTGCTGTCCTCAAGGATCCTGAGGCCCAAAGGGTTGTCCTGGGCACTTTTGATCATTTTGTAAATGAGGAGTTGGCGGCCAGGAAGGCTTCTTTCCGAGTCCTTTGTCAGGGCACAGCACCGCCTGCCCGCACTCCACACCTGCAGTCTTGGCCCGTCCTCTCCCGTCTGTGGGGCTGTCTGGGCACCAGCCCCTCGGGGTCACAGCTCACCTGACAGTGCTGGCCCTTCTCTGCTCTTTGAGGGCCTCCCATCATCTGTGTCTGTCCCTTCCACCCCGTTAAAGCAAGTGGATCTGTGTGTCTAGGGCTAGTGAATACGCCACACTGAGCCCTGTGGGCTCACAAGCGGCACCTTCATCCAGCAGCAGAGCACAGCCGGGCCGGAAGAGGCTCCTCCCATTCTCCAGACACCGTGCCTCCCATCCACCTGGTCGCTGGCCGCTCCCCACACCATGGGTTACTTTTTCCCATTTTTGACTTCATATAAATGGAATCATACAGTGTGCAAAAGAATCTTTACAAATGCGAAATGAGCATGTTACTTAAATAACCTCCCTCTGTCTCTCAGGCTAAAATTTCAACTCTTCCATAGGGAATTCGGAAGTTTTCATGATCAGGACCTGTCTCAACCCTCAAGCAACATTTCTTTCGGTCCATCCCATTCCTTGCCATTGTAGCAGCCAGAACCTCGTCTCCCCTCCCTCCACTGACCTGTAGGCTGCCTAGGAAAAGAGTAAAATGGCACACTGCCGTGAAATCTCCCAAATGCTTCATGCTCTTTTTGTGGCTGTTAAAATGTCCAGCTTTGGGCACAAAAGCTTGACAGCTGTTCCTGACTGCGCACAGCAGGGACACCCTCATCAGGGCACTGCTCTGGCACACCAATCACTCCGGCCTCTGGGTGTCACTGTGCAAAGGACATGCTCTCTCCAGGCCACTGAGTGTTCTCTCCACATCAGTACTCACTCCCACCTGTGTAACCGCGTTTCAGATCTTCATGCTCACAGCATCTGTGTTTCCCAGGGACCTGTAGGGTGGCGCATCTGCTGCATGGCTTTCCCTGGTGCACCAGAGATGCTCAGCGCCCCTTGCAGGGTGGTCTCGTCTCCATAGCACACACATTTTGTGCCGTGTGGTAAATTACATGGTAAGGAAGTCACTTAAATCACTATAATCAGTGCAGTTTATCTAGCCAACCCAAGTTTTCTCTGACTTTCTTTTTGTGCTGTGTCTATAAACAGCTTTGTTAGTAAGAGTTTTCCCTGATAGGTTTTAATTGCTTGTCACACTCTCACGTGGAGTGGTGATTAGAGGTTCTGGATTGGTGCCAGCACACACTGGGCAGGGATGCTGTCTGGCTGTTCCCCCTCGTTGCTGTTGGACAGACTCGGTCACATGTGCCTTTGCATTTATCTGCTGCAACTTTTGCCTCCTAAAGAGGAGTGTGCGTGTGGGAAGGAGCTCCATGGCCGGTGCTCAGGATCCCTCTGTCTGGAGGTGTGGATTCAGGTAAAGTTGGAAGGAAAAGCCCAGAACTGTTGCTGGAATAAACTGGAAACCCCAGGAGCTGGAACACGTGGGATTCAGTTCTTATGAGAGAGCAGAGATGGTGTTCTGTACCACCCGCCCATGCCCGTCGACCCTACAGCTGCCTGTGTGGTGGTTCGGGGTCGGTTCCTGAGCAGCAGCAGTACCCTCTCACCCTTCTCAAGGGCCTCGGACCCGCTCCCTAGCCTGAGATTCTTGAGATAGGGAAATTCTCACTGTGCACTTCAGTCGTAAGGCTTTACCGGTATGTATTGATTGAAAGGGATTCACACCACACACTGGTTGTCGGTCGCCATATCTCTTTACTGGTGATACTGTGGCGAGAAGACAGGAGAGGCTGGCCTCTGACCATTTTTTGCCTGTAGTCAGCCCCGTCCACTTGCCTCAGGCGACGAGCCTGGAACCTTCTGCTTTTGCCAGCTGGTATCTGTACTTTGTCAGCGAGGGCCCCCGTTAACTCTGTTCCAGCCAAGGCACTTACCTGCTGTCTTTGTCACTGTTCCGGTTGATTCTACTACATGCCATGCGTTTGTGGCACGGAGTCAGACTTACCATTCTGTAAAGCCTGGGAGTGAAGGGGCGGGCTCTGTCGCCCTGCTCTGGGAAGGCTCTGCTCATCCGTGTGGCCTGAAGCCACCGTCGTCGTGTTCTATCTCATGATCTGTACCTGTCACCTGGGTGGACGGTGGGAACATTCTGCTCTGCGTGGCGTTGGCTGGTTAACCCTGCAGTTACCTGGCTGTGTGGGGCCGCCTGAGGCCTAAGCCAAGTGGCCCTGCCTCCGGAGGGCTGGCTGTGACCCCACTGACCATCACTGATCCGACATGGCCTAGCTAAGAAGTAGTCGTGGGCTTCTTCACATTAATGCGGTTCCACAGGAGTTGGACTTTTTCCCTGGTCGCTTACAACTTTAAGGGGAAAACATCCCTGGCATTAAGAAGGGGAGCTTGGGCTTAGGCCCCCATCCTGATGCTTCGTTCACTCTGTCCAGCTGTGCTGTTCTCAGGCTCTGTCCGAATTCAAGGTGAAGAGGGATCACAGACCACACACCTGCACGGAGGCTCACCACCTTGACCCGTCCGTCGGTCTGCCCTCTGGTCCCAGATGACATGCATTTCTCCCGCTTGCTTGCAAGATAAACCTGTGGTTGCCTCATTTAGTGTACCAGGCTAAGGCTGGAAAAGACCCATGGCCGTATCTAAGTCAGATACAGGTGGAGGGCGAAGTTCCTCAGGACACTGGACTGTGTGGGCCGACAGCGTGGTGACACATGGGCATGAATGTGCCTACAGCCAGTGAACATGGCAGTGGGGCACAGAGCTCATGGTTCTCAGTAGTCAAGCACACGTGTCCGGGCTTCTGATCCTGCGAAGTACTGTCTACGCCTGTTGGCGCGGCCCTCTGGACTTTCGATTCTCTGACTCCCAAGCCGTCATCTTTTTCCATTAAAAAATCAGCTCCATTTTGCTGATGAGTGGCTTTCTTGGCCTGCAGTCAAAGTCCCAGAAGGAAAGGAGAGAGTGAGAGGCAGGAAAAAAGAAAAATTGTGACTGATTGAAAACTCTCCAAATTTGATGGAAAACCTTAATGTACAGATCCAAGAACATGCAGGAAAGAATGTCGCAGATGTGCTCTTAAAGACACTTTGCGGTCTCCTGCCTGGTGGAGGCTATCAGCCACGCCCGGAGCCGACCCCTGAGTGACGCTCTGTGCTCTTGTGGGCTCTGTCCTTGTCCTGGAGCCGTTTCCTTGTTTCAGACCCTCACTGGGAATACTGCAGAGAAGAGCTTTATTTCTAAACTTGCTCTTTTTCCTCTGAATTGTCTGGATGGAGGTGTCTAACTCGGGTAATAGCTACCCAGAAACTCATAGGTTCCCCGTTTGGTCTCCTCACTGCTTACAGTAAAACACAGAAAGAGGGTTTGCATTTCCCGTCCCAGAGGCCGCCTCGCCTGACCCTCAGCCCTCGCTAGAGGTTTCACATCCCTAGAGGTGACAATGTTTCCAAACTTTGTGCTATCATATAATAAAGATCTACTTCTCCCCAACTTTAGATAGCATTTCCCTCTCTGTATTTTAAGAGGTCACTAACAATTTCATTGGGGTCCTTTCAGCTTGTACCCATGGCATGATCCCAAAGCCAAACTTACATTTTGGGTTTTTGTTAAAACAGAACCTCATTTCCAGATCCAAATTCTTTTTCAATAGCAAGACATAGTGGTTTAAAAAAAATTTAATTATGGCTCATGATTTTGTGAAATTTGAGCACCAACTAGTTCTCCTTTGTGTGCAGTCAGCTGAGTCATTCAGTGGCGTTCACCTTGCAGGCAGGCTCATCTAGCGGGTCTGTGGCAGGTGCTTCAAGTACTTGTCCGTGGTGGGGGCGGCGGGTCCCACTACTGCACGTGTTTGGGGTCTCCCTGGAGTCTGTGGTGGGGGGATCGTACTTCTCGCAGGGCAGCTTGGAGTCCCGGAACAAGTGTTCCATGCAGGGAGCTGGCGAGGACAGGTGGCAAGGGCCCTGCCAGGTCCAGGGCACTTGGAGACCCAGCCTCACCATGGACAAAAGGCCAGTGGGTTTCGGCCGGCTTCACCACAGCCCCCTTCTCAGGTTTCCCCAGGAAACTGTCCGCTAAAGCAGTGTCTGCTCGGGCACTGTGAGATGGGTGAGCCGGCCTTTGGCTTTAGGACAACATTTCACTGTAGCTCTGCCACTCACTGTTAACCGCAGCCTCTCATAACTAAGGTAATTTTTCTGAACCCATAGATTTTTGTTCGAATCAGAAGTCCTTTCTGATCTGCTTTTCTAAATGATTATTACAAGATTCAATTAAATTAATATTTAATATTAATATGATTTGTTAATATGATTTATACATTTAATATAAATAATAAATATTTAAGTATAAAACATTTTGTAAACTGGAAAGTGCCATACTCAGTTTATTCCTTAAACCTGTGTCTGAGTGCCTGTTACATGTCAGACGCTGCTACAGTGCTAGGCTTACTTGATGCCTGAGACAGACACGGATGGTCCCAGCCCCTGGGGACCTACAGTCAACCCATTAACCTTGAACCTTACAGACTTCTGAGTTGAGCCTGAGACTCCATTTAGTCATGAAGGAAAAGAGATTGAACGTGTATAAAAGAGTAGAATTGGAATGCTCAGCATGTTCTATTAGGTGAGATCTAATTAGGGATTTCGTACTGTTTTTAAATTTCTTGGAATGAAACTTTTAACGTTTTATTCTCACATAAACACACAGCACATAAATTTTTTCTACTTTTGCATATTCAATTTCCACATATGTTGTGTTTATAGATGGGGTTACTGCCTGAACCAGGTACTTTAGGTTCTAACAGGTAGATCCTCCCCTCCTAGATGGGCTCTTTAGATGGGAGGAATTTCTTTTAATTAATGGGTGAGGGGGGGCACCATGCTTATTTACATAACCTTCACTGCAGCTTCTCTTACTCTTAAGCAAATGTTTACCTAAATAATTCCAATGATCTTTTGCACTTAGCACCTGGCTGCTGTGGAAGAGAGAAAGATCAAGTCTCTGGTAGCTCTCCTGGTTGAGACTCAGATGAAGAAACTGGAGATCAAACTTCGACATTTTGAGGAGCTGGAGACCATCATGGACAGAGAGAAAGAGGCTGTAAGTGTGGCTCAGGGTAGCTTTTTGACATGGCAGCCAGCTCTGCTGGTCTCTAGCTGTCTTCTGTCCTTTTTTTTTGTTTGTTTGCTTTGCCTTTTCAAAAGGATTATCAGCCAGTGATGGTAAATAAAAGGGACTCTGTTCACATTCTGAAACTAATTATCTAAACTTGAGCTTCTTAGACCTCTCAGCTTTCAAGGTACATGATAGAATCAAATTCTCCCTTCTTTAAAAGTTGGATCTTTGACTGACAGACTTAACCTATTTGTCACCAGTAAAGTAGAATCCATATAGATCCATACCTTATTCAAGGATTTTGAATACCTTTTGTCTTCAAGATAAATATCAGAAGGTAGAGGTTAATCTGTTCTGGAGTTAGGAGCCTCTTGTCCATGATCCCTTTTAACCAGGCCTTCCTCAGATCTGACCTTGGCCTCCTGCTTTTCCCCTCTTACGGTGGAAGATGGGGGCTGGGCCATGCTGAGCTGCTAAGCAGCCTTTTCTCTGTGTGGACAAGAAGGTGCTCCAGGCACTGTCCTGTGCTTGCTACATGCCAGCCCGCCCCAGTTCCCCGGCCCTCTCCTGCCTTAGGATGCACTGGCTGCTCAGCTCCTGGTTCGGCTGTGTGGTGGTCACGCCACACCACATGCAGGCTTCCCTCATGGCCTTGTTCTCTGTGCCCCCTCGGTGCATTCTGCCCACAAGGCCCCTTTCGCCACTGCCTCCCTCTGCATTCCTCAGTCCTGCACCCTTGGGTGACATGCCCTCCCCATTGGCTGCCTAACAGCACTTGCTGTATTGCCATTGCTAATCACCTGTCCACTTCCCATATGAGGGCAGGATTGATGGGGTGTCTTTGTAAGCACACGACTTGGCGCATCATAGGCTCTTGTTTACGGTCTGTTGGCTGTGTGCACCAGATTGCTGTCGGAAGGCGGAAGGGCGGGCAGGAAAGTCTACCTTTGGGGAACTTAGTTTAGTTTAGGGGTGAGACAGTTGTGAAAACAAATGACAGCATGTGGTGTTCGCTGCTTTGGAGACAGGAGAGCACCTGGAAGGTGCAGAGAGGTGAGGCCGTTGGAGAAAAACTTCCCAGAGGCGACCTGCACTTGGGGAGTGAGTGTGTGTGTGCGTCTCACCCTGATAGCTGCTCTCCTGTTGTTCTCTAGTCTTTTAGGGACTTGGACAACAGGGGCTATAAGAGGGTGGGTTACTAGCACACGCAGAATCCAGGTGGTGATGGGGTGGGTCCTGTACCGCATTGTTGGCCAGGAAGGGTGCATGGCCTAGACAGGGTGCTTGTGGAGCGGCGTCTGGATCGTCTGGGGCTCTCTTCTGGGTTCTATGTTGCGTTCCCTTCAGAGGGTGAACCTGCAGATCCTGCTGTTTGAAGCTTCTGGTGGAGCCCCCCCCCCCCCCCCCCCC